TCAGACGTGTGCTCTTCCGATCTTCATACATTTACCTCTCCCATAAATTTTCCATAGGGTTTCACGCGGGCGCATATCGATATTCTCATTTCGTGTGATATGAGGAAGTAATTTCTGCAAAAAAATTATCTACTTCACGTTACATCCAAAACCGTCCACTTTCACTGCTCCACCGACTGGACACATATACACGCGAATGAACGTTGCGTCGAGACGTGTTGGCGCACGCAAATGTCACGATCCTTCAATTTCGCACTCGTCCCGTGACGCGGGAAGCGCGGAGGCGGGGAAAGGTTAGCCGGACATCTGCGACGAGTTTCGAGAATGCATTCGAGAGAAGAATCGCCGCGTTGTTCACTTTTAAAGGCGGAACTTTATACCGCTCGTAACGTTGTGAAATCCGCGTGATTGCGAGAAATTGTGCAAGCGCGGCCGTGCAAAGCGAATAAAAATGTTTATTTACTTGACACCTTGACGTGAGCAAGATACACACATATGCGCCGTCAGCAAACCCGTATTTTCTGTGTATGTCATGGTGACTCGCGGTATAATTTGCCGCTTAATTACAACGAAGGCTTTCAATAATTATTTAGCTCAAAAATAATGTAATGTATTTTATAAGCAAACATCGATATGTATTACTTGTTTTTTTTTTACTATTATTTTACGCAAGCGGACATTTATGTTAAAATTTTTATGTTGAATTTTTAACAGTATTAATTTAACATGATGTAATTATATTACTTGAATATTTAACATTAAATTGATATTTAACATTTTTAGTGTTAAACTAACACAATTTACAAGTAAGTGCTGCATAAATAACGTAAAATTAATGTAGTTTTAAAATGTAAATTCTAAGATAAATGATGATAATTAAAAGATAAATGTAAGTGTTAATTTAACATATAAGTGTTACTCTTACTAAAGAAATAAACTTCCACAATTTTTTTTTAAATTGTTTTCAAAGTGTTCAAGTATTACATTTTTTGTGTTAATTTGCACGCAATGTTTGCGTTGTTTTCTAATATACTCGTTTTACGTTAAATTAACACAAAAATTTTGGTGGACCATTTGGGACACAAAATGCATTAAATTTAACACAAATTTTCCATACAAAAGCCCATGAAAAAAAAGTCTTATTATTTTTATACATTAGTACTAAACTCACAATTCTAAACTAAGTATCCGTTTCACAAAAAAAGTAGTTATTATTCGAAAGAACGGAATCTTTCGGTCACCGTAATTTGTCAATCGTATGATGTCTTTATAAAGATTCCATCAAGCATAATCGAGTGCCGCGCGAAGCGTCGAGGTTTTTTTTTCTTTACACGCACATTGTATCAACGAAGTGTTTACATAGATGGCAATAATGAATTGTACAGCCTTGGAATAAAAATGCGATTGCGACGACGCATCCTCGACGGATGGAAAACGGGATGAATTATGATCGGCAACAAGCATCGACCGACCGTATATAAGCGGACCTGTTGACGCGCGATCGAGAGAGCTTTTCAAGGGGTTTCGCAACGCGCAACGTACACAAGCGCACATGCTTACGATCCAGAAGTGCATGCGCAAACTTCGCCGGGCTTCCTCTTACGCAACGCGAATCGCGCGCATCGGAATTTTTCTACGCGCTCGAATTCTTCGCGTGTTTTCTTTCCCGCAACGCAGAAAAAAAGAGAGAGATCCAAGGCGTCTCGCGCGCGCGCGCTGGGTAATACTCCGAATGCAACCTGCACTCATCTGCATTCCGCTACCGGCGGCGCGCAGAAACGCACGAGCGTGAATATCATACGTTAGACGCGGCGGCGGCCTTACGGAATTCGCAACCCTGCCTCGAGCGCGTTCCCGGCAGGAGGAGGACTCACGGCGACCTGCAAAAAATGACTTAGTAATAGTAACTAAATTTCAATAGCCGAATCAAACTTAGCTATAAGAGCTACCGCCTTAGTATCATTGCTATTAAGTTCCGGCTATTACAGATAAAAAATATTCATTGTGACAAAAAAATGTATGAACTGAAATTAAAAGCATATATTAGTACAGGCAGCTAAAAAGATGATATGCGTACCTAAATGTCTTATCATGCACACATTTAACACATAAAGCTATAAGTTTTTCAGCTACGCGCGAAAATTTGATTTGTAATTGTTTTTGCAATATGGCACTGCCATATGCACATCTACAGCGCATTTAGCACATATTTTGCAGTATATAAGCTATATGCTTCAAATATTATATTACTCTATTGCGAAGATAAAATAACATAGTAGATTCGGCTAAATATCATTTGATTTTAGCAGCAAATATTTTTTGCTGTAGCACCTACATTTTAATAACAAATAAATTGAACTTCGGCAGCAACGACATTACCTGTCCCTATTTTAACGACACATCTTAGCTGCCATAGCTATATTTTAGCTTCATTGGCTAATCCTTTTTCTGCAGTGTGTGGGAAGCGTTTTCGAGTCGATCGCCGTAATGGTTCTTACGGCAACGACGAGATTGAATTTGACAATAAATGGCCATGGGAACGAAAATTGCATTTGCGAGACGCGAGAAATGCGTGTGAGAAAAGTTGCAAAATTACAGACGAGCTAGAAAGATAAAATGACGAATAAAAATAAATTGACGCGAATAACGATAAAACGTTGAATAACAATTATAATAAAAATAAACGTCATTCTTTTTTTTCTCCCCCCCCCCCCTCGTCATTTCGCCTTCGTTTCGGAGTAAAAATTTGCGATGTACCTCGCTCTTCCGGCGTTACTTAAAACCCGAGAACTCGCTGAGAGTAATATTCCCGGATCGACATTCGAGAGGCCGACTCTGTGTCCACTGAAGAGAGTGTTATTATTAGCCAAACGACTAACTGGAATTAATTTAGCAACATTTGCAATTTAGGTTTTTGACGAAGTGAAAGACAACGTTTATTTTAGATATAATATATACGCGGAATAGTCCAAGTCGACGTAAAAACAAGTCGAGTTGGTTTTACGTCGTTAATCCACACTGGGCTCCGATTGCAAAATTCTCGCCGGAGATAAATCTTCGCTTCGAATTATATTACGGAGCTATTAACATACGCACGATTTATGTTATTGGCGAAAAAAACCCGCTACTTTCGTGCGCATGGAACAATGTGTGTTCGTTAAATCCCCTTGATGTACTCTATTCAGCTTCCATATTTTCACAGATCTGTATAATAATTATTAAATTATTAATATAAATATTAATAAATTTATTAACGTTTATGTAATTAAGATAAAAAAGTTTAAGAGTTAAGATTTAAGAGTGACGTAATATAAGATAGTATATTAAATTAGATAGTAAATAAAACATTAAATTGCAAATTTGAATACATCTTTTACGTTAATACATGAATTTTTAAGATTTATAATATAGAATTTATACAGTACATTATGTCTAATAAGAGAGGTAAAATTATTTCTAATTCTTTTGACGTCAAAATTATTAAAAGCCTCTCTAATCCTCTTATCTAAAAAAAGGCATGTTAAATCGAAGTCGAATTATCAAAAAGTGTCGAAATTTATTGACTCTGTTGACTTTGCTACGTTGATTGGTCCTCTTGCTGTACTTATTCCGTGAGCGGCTATCATTGTATATTTTTGACAGTTGCGTGCATTGAAGTTGACGTGTAATTGTAAATAATAGTAAAAAGTAAAAAGTGCAGCTAAATAGCGCGCGCGAAGCGCGCGTCTGTAGTGCTAGTTAATCAAACTTTAAATTGAAAACAATTACGAATCGTACAGATTATACTTCAACCGGAAAAAGAGATCGTCTCACATGATTTCATACGCAATTAGAAATGTTAAAATGTATTTGTTTTTGTTTTGTTTTATTAAGCCCATTCCACCGCTTTGAGAGACACGCGAGGATCTTGACACACAACAGTCTCGGTCTAATAGCCGAGCTTTGTTCTCAGTCCCAAAACTTCCGATGCCAACCCGAGAGAGCGGCCGAAAGATTCATCACGCGGGACCATCCACGAAGAAAGAGATCCGTTCCCGAGGATTTCGGAGTCGGGACCCGATCGACCGGCGGCGATCGAGGAGCGGAGGATCGGCGGCGGCCCGGAGCTCTTGGCTCACCCGTTACTCGTCCAGCTCTGCGGGAGGGAAAAGGGGAAGGGGAAGAAGGGGAGAGGGGGGAGAGAGGGTTGAGAAACAGGGGGGAAGGAGCCGAAGGAAAGAGGGAATGAGAGAGAAAGAGAGAGAGAGAGAGAGAGAGAGAGAGAGAGACGCGGTGAGGCTGTGCGAGGCACAGCACAGGTAAAACAAAAAGTCGGGAAAAAATTGAAAACCAGTCTTATGCAGTCGGTAGTCCGGACTACCCGACCGTCAGCGGACTCAATCTCTCTCTCTCTCTCTCTCCCCCCCCCTTCTCTCTCGCTCTTTCTCTCTCAACAAGTGCCTCTCGTCCTCTCTCCCTTTATCATTCTCGCTCGCGCTCTCCCGCTGCGCTCCCTCTGTCTCTCTCTCTCTTTCGCGTTTGCTCTTGCCTCTTCTCCTCTCCATCTCCATCGGAGAGATCCGCGACGGTACAACCACCACTACCACCACCACCACCACCACCTCCTTTTCCTCCTCCTCCTCCTCCGCCTTCCTCCTCCACCTCCAACCACCTCCTCCTCTTTCCGTTTCTCTGCGCGGTCCTCGCGGTCCACGCTCTTCCTTAATTCAGTCCAATGAGAGCCGCTCTTCGATTCGTCACACCCGCCGACAAATCTCTTTCCTTTCTCTGTTTTCCTCTCTCCTTCTTCGTCGCACCCGTCTCGCGAAGGATCGCCGCCAATTTTCGAAAAAGCGCTTTCGACGAGGAGCGGACGTTCTTCAACCGCGTCTCCTCCGACCGTCTCGCCGATCCGCGAGGCCCGATCGATCGCGATCGCGATCACGATCCGCACGACGCAAGGTGCGTCGCGATGCGTCGCAACGCGATAACAACGTCGTAAATCCGCGGAATACCGGGTGCATCCGTACGGGACGCGCGCGCGAGCGCGCGTGCGTGGAATTCGCGGTGCGAATCCTTCGCGCCGGATGGGACACACCGTGCGCACCGCCGCCGAGCAGGAAGAGGATCCTCGCGGAAGAAGACGTACGTCCGTCACTCCGCGAGTTTGTTTTGACGACGGCTCACCGTTTACGCCGCGCCGTGTTCTACGGTAAAAGCGCGAGAGGCGCGAGCGGAGGCGCTGCGTCGTAACGCGCGCTGTGATCCAAGTGCGCGATTTCTGCACGAAGTTAGAACGTGTTTATCGAATGTGAACGTTGGCGAACGCGCGGAGAGATCGATCGACGCGATCCTTCCTACCCGCGGGGAGACCAACATTCCTATACATCGCCGCAAGAATATCTCGCGAGAATCAAGTCAAGATCGACTCTCGCGATCGTCCGAGAGACTATATACGTCTCGTCGTCTTCTGCGCGTTATACGTGCTACATCTTACATTCGAGTGGTGGATCTTTAACGAACGCGCACACGAAGCGCACGGCCGGAGATCCCTCGTGCCGCGCACGGGATCTCACGCGGGCGGTTTTTCGACGACCCCCGCTGAAACTGCGAGGGAATCGTGCAGCGGCGCCGCGCCTTCCTCCCTGAGGAGGATGCGAGGAAGGATTTCGCCTCTTGCCGAGGAAACATGTCCCGCGGCGGTCGTCGCAACGCGCGAACCGGTTGCGCGCTCTTAAAATAGTTTCTCACGCGCGTAGGTAACTGGCGCGCCGCGCGCGCACCGCCGTCCCGTCGCTGGAACACGGACGCCGCCGCCGGCGGAGTAGTGCCAGGTAAATATCGATCGAGACTCTATCGCCGTTAGATAGATCCCCCTGCCCTCCTCCACCTCCTTCTCCTGCTCCTCTTCCTCCCCTCCTCTCCCCGGAGACGAGAGCGCGCGAGAAAGATCCGCCCGGATCCGCCGCGATCGCGATCGCGCCGGATCGCGGTGGCGCGGCGCGGCGCGGCCGCGGGCCGGCCTCCTCTCTCTGTGATCATGGAAAATAAATAACTCGCCTCCAATTAAAGAGGCATTTCGAAATTCGAAAACGCGATCGAACTCCTCTCGGCCAAGCTATTATCGGAGCCGAGGAACTGCGGAGAACTCTCCGTCTCTCTTACGAGAGATCGTCTTCCCTCCTCTTCTTCCTGTCTGTCAGAAGAATCGTTTCTCGAAGTGCTTGCTTGTTTACGGAACACATGTAGGAGAGTCCGTCTGTCCGTCCGTCCGACGAAAGAAATTTCGGCAGAGCCTAAAGGAGTAGGGAGGGGGGAGGGGGAGGGAGCTATTACGGTCGCGCGCTGCCGTAATTTTTGTTTGGTTAAGAGGTTCCTGTTTTCCTCTCTCTTTCTCTCTCGCGCGCTCTCTCTCTCTCTCTCTCTCTCTCTCTCTCTCTCTCAATTTCGCTGAAACGCCGTTATAAAGAGAACCAAAGAGAGCTATTTCTGATAACGGGGAGGGTGGATTTTGGCGCCGCGCGGAAACGACGCTTTGTTCCGCGGCGCACATGCGATCGGTCTATATTTTGCAAACGCGACTTTTTCGCGGAATCTCGTCACGCGGGATCGCAAAAGAGAGAGAGAGAGAGAGAGAGAGAATTTTAAATTGGATGCGGGCTCGCTCTGCGCTCGAGCCGCTCTCTGCGATCGCTTATCAATCCGCGATCAATCGAGAGACGCACATCGGCCGAGTGCGTCTCTCGATTCATCTTTTACGAGAATATACGTCGACGGAATTATCCTCAATGGCGATCTATATTCGCGGTGACGTGGTTCAATGCTTGCACTTTTTCATCCGCCGCCGCCCGGCTGTGCCCGGTGTTCCCGAGAAAGCCGAGTGAGACGTAGATGCATCTGCGACGCATCGCCGATCGATCGTGCCACGCGCTTCGAAGTACGGCTCTTTCCGAGTATCGGAAAGTGTCGGGAGGCATTCCGTCTATTCGAGCGCTAATTCGATTAGCGTACCTGAATGCGCATTGCCGAAAAAAAATCTCTCCGAGGAAAGTCCCGGGGTCGGTTCTCTCTGAAAGAGTTTCAGGGCGGGAAAGTCTATCGACTGTGATGACCGTTTTCGATACACAGAATGTATCGTAAATCAGTGTGATCGTATCTCCGTTTTGTATCCCAATTAGCACGAAACGCGACTCTTGTTCGATTCTGAATTTCACCTGAATAAAAGAGAATATTGTTGGCATAAAAATTACATTCACTGTTTCAAACAAAACTCAAACGAGAAATGATAAATCATTCGTAAAATCGGCGTTAAATATATGATAAAACATTACATAACGACCATCACGAAAAATGATTCGTAAAATATAAGAGGTGTAGACAGGTGTATCAAAGAGAGAATGTAAAGGTATTAATTCACATAATGCACATTTCACATAAAAAAAAACAAAATAGATCGACAATAATATATAAGTCAAATTGGAGCGCTGCAGTAAACAACGTAATTAAACAGAGAAACTCCAACAACGATTGAGTTGCTGGATTTTAGTGCCTAATAATATTTCTCTGTAAATTCTAAATACATTTTCAGTTACATAAACTGCGCGCCGATTACTATATTGGATTACTTGCAAGGCAATCATAAACTGTTGCTGGAACAGTAAGCTCGCAAATTAAATTGATGTTCAATTAGACAAATTTGTTCAAGTATCGCAGTTAATCTCTTCAAAAGTTTCTTTAAAAAAAATTTTTTTTCTTTGATTCTTCGTTTTTCCTCAATATAGAATCACAATTTCGGCTATCTGCAGAAATTGCATTACACGCGAATAACGGCCCCGCTGTTAATCGACATCTTTAATGGCGTATTTAACGTTAAACGCGCTCGTCCCATTCCGACTGCCCCTTGTCTATTATTAAGATGCTATTCGATGTTATCACAGGCCGTCTCGCGGTCACGTTTTCAAACCGCTGAACCGCGCGTCGCGCAAGTGCGGGCCGCTGGTCGACGGTGCGGCACGCGGCGCGACGCAGCGTGGCGGAGGCTCGGTCTCGGTGCGAATCGAGCGTGCCTCTCGTGTGTGCAGTGCATGCCGTGCACACGGATATATAATTCCTGCAATAACCGAAAATAATAATACGGCAGACGGCACCGCAAATGGCGGCGACAGCGCGATAAACGGCCGCGCGGATGCCAATTGACAGCGCGATGCTTCGATAACGCCGATATTAACGCGCGAAGGAGGTCACCAGATGCGCGACCGGCGCAGCGCTTCATCGGAAATGGCGGACGATCGAGTTTCAGCGTTCACTCCGTCTCGCGTCATCGAATCGATCGCGATCTCGCTTTAATTAACCTCGACGGGATTTCCCGAAAAGTGCTCGCGCGAAAGAAACGTTCATTTATTCACTCGCTGCGGATCCAAAAGATCGAATCTAAACGATTGGAGATATCGAGATCGTATAGACCATTCAATTAATTCTTTTTTTTTTAAGTCAAGATATCTGGGAAGTGAGTATCGTAATATGATAAAATACTCCAATCTGCGAGATGTTGCGTCACGCGAAAAGGCTGACCTTCTACGAAATTCGACTCCGATTCCGCCGAATTGCCGGGAGCAATTTTAACCCTTCCCGAGTAAAACGCGAACACGCGCTTCTCTTTTTCCAAACGTTGCAGAAATGAAAGATAATTATTAAACACTGGGGCTGTTACTTTTGACAATTTCGAAGATTCGAATCTTCAAAAGGTTAGCTTCGAAACTCCGAAAGTTAACTCCGGTCGAATTACTTTCAAAATTTCGAAGGCGCCTCAAACTTCGTAGTTTCGAATCTTCGAAATTATCAAAGATAACAGCCCCGTGAAACATCTAAACACTTCTTGAAAGTATCTTTGATGCTTTTTGCTCGTGTTTATTTTATATTTATCTCGTCAATCTCGCGTCGGCTCGCGATTCTTCTCGACGGCAGAATTAGGATTCATTCGCGTTTAAAGGGTTACGCGCTCGCACCTGACGTACCTCGCACGAAAACGGACGAGAGAGGGAAGGGGACGGAGGAACTTTTACACGCCAGTGGTAACAGAAAAATGATTGGAAAGTCTTCCTCCGCGGGCTCCGCGCCGTGTGTGAACGCGGTACGTACACGTAGCGGACACGTAGGTAGAGATACCAGGCTCGCGCCGCCGCCTTCTACGAAGGCGATTGGCGTTTGTTATTGAAGTTATTCCATCGCCTCGGGCTAGAGAACGAGAGGCGAGGCTGCCGATCGTGAGTGCCAGCAGCAGCAGCGGCGGCGGCGGCGGCGGCGGCAGCACGCCTGTCCCTGGATGACAAACATCCACATTTCGCTCGCGAGCTGGAATTTTTATTAAAACCGTCCGACCGCGCGCCCGTCTCCGCGTTATACGCGGTGTCCCGAGCGTATGACCACGCGCGCGCTCATTCATTCCGCTCTACGCGATCAGAGACTCTAACAATAAAAAAGATACGGCCGATCGGTTGAGTTATACTTGCGAATACACAGAACGACAAAATATACAGTTGGAAAATTTGTGTTAGATTGAACACGTGTCCACCCAAACGTTCGCCCGAATTTTGGTGCCAATTTAACATAAGAATGTGAACATTACAAAGTAACACGCGCGGATATTATGTTAAGAATTAACACAAAAAATGTATAGCACTTTGACACAATTTGGAAAATTTGTTAAATTTAACGTATTTCACGTGTCCCAAACGGTCCAAAGTTTTATGTTAATGCAACACAAGGAATATTGTTAGAAAATAGTACAAACATTATGTAAAAATTAACATAATAAATGCAATATTTTGATGCAACAATATGCTAAACTACACTAATATTATACATATACTCATCACATTTATTCATTTATCTAAGAATTTACATTAAAATTATACGTGAAAAAATATCTGATTGTCTTAATTAGAAACCTGATAAATTCAACAAAAAGGTACAACAATCAGACGATTAAATCTATCAAACGCTTAAATCTATTAATTAAATATATGAAATATATCAAACATTTGAATTAAAATAATCAAAAATTCATTTATCATAAAAGAAATTTTGATTGGTATGATCAAAATGCACTTTATACGTATTTCTTGTTGGTACAAGCAAAATATTTTTCTCAGTATACGTTACTTTTATTTATTCGTTATTTATTCATTTACGCATAAATTATATCATTTTAAGGCTAAGGAATGTTAAATATCAATTTAACATTAAATCTTTAAATAACATAATTACATTATGTTAAATTAACACGCGAATATGTTAAAAATTTAACAAAATTAACAAGGATTGAATATATCTTTTTTTAAATATAAAAATTGCAAAATATTTTATACTGTGTAGAAAAGTTTCTCACTTCAACGTCGTCGAATGACATTTGAAAATAAAATCTGGATTCCCAATCACCTTACATTTTTTTTTTAAATATTTTTACATCAGTTACATCCTTCAACTCTATAATTAATTTATGAAATCTTTTATAAAACTAAGGTTTGTATATGGGATGACAATCGGGATTGCATCCAAAACTCGCCGACCGCTTAAAAGCCGCTTTATTCATACGGAGCCACGCGTCACCCCTTGTCGAATAATATTTATTGTTTCGATGAGAGAGGTAGCGTTTCATTGTCCCGACAAGTAGCGTTTCATTCGCGACAATGGGTCGAGAAAACAGTCAAGTCAGCCGTTCGATCAACGGCATAGCTCCTGAGATGGTTTGTTGAAATTCCCGCATATCGGAGTCACATGGAATTCTATTTGACCTGAAGTAGGCGACCTCAGGCACAATGCAGTTTTCGTTTCAAAAATGCGCCATAATCCAGTAGCGATTAGCACAATAGAGACGTCCTGGAGGCTAATCTCTTCTGCGCACTCAATACCTCGGTCTCGCCGAAAACAGAAAAGCCCGAGTCAATATATGCTTCAATATACGCGTAGAACATAGTTTCCAAAGGAATTGTCCGCACAAGGGATATCAATTTGACACGGAGTGAGAGCGGAACAGCCCCCGTTATTTTTTCTGCGCTCAGCGGGTGGGACAATCAGGACAATAGAGCTGGAATAGAATAAATACGCGCGAAATATACCCCCGGACTTCCCGTTTTGCCAAAACTTTAGACGGCAGAATTCAACAAAAGATCATTTCACAGCAAAAATGACCGCAAATATTTTCGTGGCTCTCAGATATCCGGTATATGCAGATGATTAATTTAATTGCCCGTGCGATCTACCGAGACGGAGAAACCGGGCTTTTCACAAGTCGAGAAGAGTTGGTGACGGAGGTATTTAAGTAACTTTAAACCGCCTAAGTGTGACTGCTTTTATGTCGGCGCATAAAACAGCTTAGCAGATAATTACCTGGAAGCCATCGTAAACCGCTCCGCATGGTGGTGGGTGGGTGCGCCTTTTATTTACGAACGGCCTGAGACGGCCGAAACTCAAGACCGTCTCGAGATTAGAGAGTGGGGAAGAGACTTCCTACCTTAAAAACTACAGTCGTCCCCGTGAAAATCTTCGATGATTAGTCTGCCATAGGTATCTGCCGCGGTGGGTCCTGTCATTCGGTAGTGTGTGTTCGCCGAAATAAGGAGCGGGCGGTAAACCGTTAACAGATTAAAAAGTATGATTCAAAGTATACGATAAAATAATGCGGCGAGAAAGTGTAAAATAGGATTATATAAAAATACCAATAAAATAAAAATAAATTTATAAAAAAAAGCATAAAACACAGTTTTGCCGACAGCTGAAAAATGCAAAACGGATTTTGTTAATGTGGGAAATAGAAAAACGATGCGACGCGCATGCGAAATAAATATGAAATTGTGTAACTTAAATTATAAATACAGAACTGTTTATATAAAAATTTTTTTCTAAAATCGTGCTTCAAACACCAATGTAAAAAGAAACTGAAGAAGTTACACGCAGGTATAACAGTTGTGTAAAGTGTAAAGTGCGGAATCAGACTTCGCCGAAAACAAACTTCGCGTAATATCTGAAGAGTAGAGAAGATCGAGATATTATTCAGGTTATTATAATAATTTTCATGAATTTTTATAATAATTTGACGAGAATGATGCAAATGTAACTGGATATTTCAGGCATCTATCTCTTCTCTCTTCTTCTAAATCCTGCAGACATTAATTCTCAGTGACGTTTAATGGTGTATTAATAAACCGAGAGATGTGGAAACGTGTGTGTGTGCGTGTGTGTGTGTGTGTGTGTGTGGAAAGCGAGCGTGAAAGTCGCTGCTAGCAGCGGACACATATACGAGATCCGAGTCGGTCGCGCCTTTTCAATCACCGCCTGTGTAATAGGTTGTTGTAGTGGAATTCTTTTCCAATAATAATTTACCCGAGATATATCATAGGACTACGCGCGATTATGCATGATATAAATAGATTTTTAATGGACGCGTTTGAAAGGTGCAATTATTGCACGAACGGAGATCGTTTTGCATTTCGATTAATCGTCGCCTTAATTCTTATCCGTTATTTGGCCAAATATTCAACGCTCCCGGGGAATGATTTGCGCGTATTTGTCTCGATTTATAAAGAGAGACGTAATAATTTTGCAAAATGAAGTGAATACGATCGCGACGTTCGCTCGGCAATTCTAAACATTTTGAGGAATAATCGCTTTCTGATTTCTAGCAAATTTCTGTATTTACTGCCGTGTTTTTTTTTAAATTCACCAATAGAAATTTCCAATAATTGACACGATAAAAATCTGCAGTAACTCTACACGAGAGATATATAAATATCTATATAAAGAGGAAATAACGATTTTGCTGAGATATCTAAAACTTTAGCTGGATCTGAAAATAATTTTGTTGGATTAAAATAATTATATATAACGCTCAAGCATAACGGGCATAATGTTATGCTTAATCCGCAACAAGTTTTGACATTCTAATAACTTGAGCGTAACCCTTGAGCCCTACATAATTATTAGTATGAAGGTTTAACAAAATTATTTTGTAGATCTATATCAAGTTAAATTTTTAGATGTTAGATTTCAGCAAAACCGTGTATTTCAATGTTCGCAAGAGTATAACTTCCACTGTCTTATATTTGCGTTTGTAACTTTAAAGATCTACTTTTACGCCGCGTGATAAATGCGTTCCCGGAATTTCCGCGACAATTCCTTCGCGCAGGAAGCGAAATCACTTCCACTTCTCCATTAGCAAGGTGAACCCTCCGAATTTGCGAAGGCTTAAACGAGCTTAAACGGGTGACCTCGTACGGCGCGTTATCCCCGAAACGGAGAGGAGCAACATTACGCTGATTGCTCGGGTTAGCACGTTAGCAGCAGCAGCAGCGCTCGTCGGGAGAGAGGACTGAAATTTCATTCTTTTTAGCACGCGTTCCCGCTTAATGACACCCTGACTCACGTTCGTGAATATTCTTAATAATCTTAATCGGGCCTCGTCGGCATAATCATTCCCCTCGTCTGCGTAACGCCGCTCCGGGAGTGGCGCGCGAGCCGAGGAAACGCTTATAATCCGTTCGCACATTGTCCGGCATCTACGGAATAGACAAACAATAGTCCACGTGTATGCGTAGGGAAAAGCGCACATAAAAATCACTGCGGTTGAACGCGGCCGTATATAAATTCTCGGCGGTAACACGATCAAGTAGGTCTGTGTGGTTTAGCTTTTATAGTGCTGTCAAACTCTTCGTAATTTCTTTACAGAGCTTTAAAAGAAAAACCCCTTATGTAAAGAAAAAGATCGTATCTTGGATATTTTCAATACTTTCGAAAATATTACAAAATAGAAAGCTAGAAAGCATTCCACTTTTATCTCCCATTTTCTATTTCTACAAAATTATTTTACCACCTAGATTAAAAACAAAAAGAGCGACGGAGATACATTTCTGATAAGATATACGGGAAAATCACACTAAACTACAAGTTGATCATAAGGGAAAAATTTAAAGGACATTCTCTATTGCAATCTTACTTAACGATAAGTTCTAAATTCTTTTAGCTAAGCTGTTTTTAAAATTGCTCTATTCTTTTTTAACTTCGTAAAAAATATGTTAATAGGTTTCTTTAATGATTTCTTTTCTTCGATTCTTTTCAATTTTATTTCAATTCTTTTAATTACATAGAAAATTCCGAATAGTGTATTTTTGTTCAATTTATAATTTGCATTAAAACTCCGTTTATCTTCATTTAACTGTACAGAATTTCTACATTTCTTTTTTTTTTATTAAAGAGTTTACAATATACATATAAAACTGCTGAATTTATTAATGATTTAATCGGTGCTAACAATAAGTTTTCAAGTCACGGGACAACAGTATATCTATCAGTAAACAGTCATTCAATAACATACAAATTAACTCAAGTTTCTTATTATCTGTGTAACCAACATAATTTCAAAACATTTCTTCAAACCGAAAGATTCGAAACGCTTATCGTTTATTTACGTTTACATATCTAATTCCGACGAATCTCATTGCTAACATAAGCTTGGTGATGGTGTCGACGAAATGAGACGTTTTGTACAGTACGGTGCGAGTCGAGTAAGTGAGAAGTAAGTCAAATCTATCCCAAACAGGATGACGGGTTGGAATTGGAGCGCATTGTTCGTCGCGGCCGTCGTCGGGATTCTGCTGCTGACCGCGACGAAACGCTCGGAAGCGTGCAACGAGGCGATCTGCGCCAGCGTCGTGAGCAAGTGCATGCTTACGCAGAGCTGCAAGTGCGACCTGGTCACCTGCACCTGCTGCAAGGACTGCTTCTCGTGCTTGAGCTACCTGTACGACGAGTGCTGCTCGTGCGTAGGTAAGACGCCGTCGAGGATAATCGATATTTCGACTATCAATTTAACTAATGAAAACTTTTCTTAAAATTGTTCATATATTTTAGAATTTCTGATGTACAATTTTGTATAAACTTATTAGAAAATTTTTTCTAGATTTATTTTTATACGAGTTGGAAACACTTTTTAGAACTGCTACGAAAGTCTATATCTTCTGTAGATTTTTTATATATGTGAATTCTGAACTATGAATTTTCTACGAGATTTCCTGTTCTAATTTTTTAAGGAAAGATAAAATCTGAATAAGTTTAAGGCAAGGTTTCAGATATTTTTCAGAAATCTTTATAAATTTAAAATATGAAAAATTCTTAAAAATATCATGAGACATAAGATTCTTTTTTTAAATTAAGGCAGATACATCAGTATATCGTATTATTATTAGAAATTGAGTCCATTTTAGTAAAATTGTAGTATTTTATTAAAAGCCATTAACTATAATTGTTCTGTAATTGTTATGATAACAATATATACATAATGAGCGTTTAATTGTAAAAACAGATGAACTGCAGAGAGAAAGTTAAACAAAACCAAATTTAGATTACAACTGTTTAAATAATGCTATATTAATTTTAGACAGTCTTCTTCTGTACGTTTTAAACAAATTGATGTTTAATTAAGTTAATTTTTAGTTATTAATCGATATAATTGATTTAATACCCTATAGAAATTGTCAAATTAAGATCGAGACATTTTATAGGTCTATAAAGAAAATTCTGATAATCATTCTGAGATAAGAATGAGTGATCGGAGAAAGCTTTAATTTATGCTAAAAAGTTTCCAAATCACTTAATCACAAATTAAAAATACGACTAACAATAAAGATAGAAATAGATGTACAGCCTTGATCATAAGTATAAAATATTTTTAATTTATTGCATTTTCTTGGAAAAGACGACAATAAAAGAAAACTAACAAAATATCATTGCTATAAAAATAAATATTACTTTTTAATAAAACTGTTTTTGGAATTTATTTTTTGTTAGATATAGAACGTTTTCGTCAATTTATGTGGGTATTTAATCTTTATGACCGTATATAAAAGGATATAAAACTGATAATATTAAATGTTTTTAATTTAATTTAATCGATGTACTAAGTAATTAACGACACTTTACACTTATATAAATATCATGGATTGTCGTCGTAATGTCTGCAACGTTGCTGAAGATTGAAATTTTTATAAATGTCTTTCCAATGGACCAAAGTATTTCAAAATCTTCTCCGATCATTTATTCTCTATTTCAAGAATTCTTTCTCTACAATTCTATAAATCATCTCGATGTCACTCTGGAAATGAAAATAAATTTATAATAATTATAAATAAAATATTATTAGCGATTTTTAATTTATCGGAATATTTCGTGAGACAGAATGTGGGCCAGAGGTACCTATAATTTAAAGGCTTTATCCTCGGTTTAATCTTACTCTTCTCTAGAGAAAAAAAACCGAGGATAATTTTCGAACGTCCTTATACATAAATGACGTAACACATTTCCGTGGGTGCCGCAGATCTATGCCCGAAGCCGAATATCAGCGACAACCCGTTGAGCAGGAAATCTCACGTGGAGGACTTCAACGAGCCAGTGCCGGCGCTCTTCCAGGCACTCACGGCCGAGGCGGACCCGCACGAGAGATGGCTCACCTTCACGTATCCGGTAGACATTGACTTGGCGGCGTTCGCGAAACACGAGAACGAAATGAAATATCATTCGCGTGAGTATCCGAACGAAATTGCACCGCCGCCGCACCGGGAGAAAGCGCGCGACTCTCCTATCATGACCGCGAAGAAACTTGCCGATGCCGGCGCGCACGAATTAGTTAATCGGCCGATCACGCGTGCAACAGATATAATTAATTAGAACGTCACAATATTACATGTGGAAAACAAAACAATTCCTTCGCGAAATACGTAGAAAACATTTTGTACTTGTGTTAAAAATAATCCACTCAAATTCTTGTTATTCTTGTTAAAATTTTATGTTAAAGTTTTAAAAAATACCAAGTTAATTTAACATGTAATTATTTGAATATTTAGTGATGCATTGATATTTAATGATTTTGTCAGTGTTAAAATAATTATGCGTAACAATTTATTTCGTAAGTGAATAAATAACGTAAAAATTATGCAGTTTTTTGTAACTACTATTATTTGTATTCAAATTCTAAAAATGAATAAAAGAATGTGTGTTAATTTAACATATTATAAATAATCATTTTACTGAAGAAATATATTTTCATAATTTGTTCCCGAACTGTGTTAAAGTGTGTGTCACATTTTTTTGTTAACTTTTACATAAAGCTCGTGAAAGTTGGGTGGATGATATCTGGGACATGTGACATGGTATCTAACAAGTTTTCCACTTGTAAATTAAATAACGAAACCAAAAAAAAAACCAGCATCGACGAGACGCGTTAAAGATTCTGCGGTTAAAAACTCACCGTCCAGACGCGATGAACGATGTTGATTGTAAGTGCCGCGAGTTAACGAGTTTATTGCGTTTTGGTTGGGCAGAAACCGCGAACGAGGAGCATCCGCTGAAGCCGAACGTGATGACGGTGAACTGCACGGTCGCGTTCATGGCGCAGTGCAATTCCTGGAACAAGTGCCGGGCGTCCTGCCAGAGCATGGGCGCCGCGAGCTACAGGTGGTTCCACGACGGCTGTTGCGAGTGCGTAGGCGACACGTGCCTCAACTACGGGATCAACGAGTCGAGGTGCGCGCTGTGCTCGCCCGGGGACGAGGACGTGGACCTCAAGGATCCGCAGTACGACGATTTCGGTCAGGACGAGGACGAGGACGTGCTGGACGAGGACGTGGACGACTAGCCGTCGCTTTCCCTCGAGAGACGTTCTTCATCCAATGTCTTCCATTCCGAATATACATGTATATGTTAATGCGACGAGGGGGAGAAGTGTTGCGTGAAAGACGTTCCGAAAAAATAACGCGAGATCTTCTTCTAAAGAATTCAACTTTTTATCATTGTGTAAAAAAAAAGTGAGACTTTACTCCAATCATAGTGTACGCTGGTATGTACGCTAGTACGCCGGTTGGAGGTTTTTATCTTTCGGAAAATCGTATAGCGTTTATGACGTCATAATTATAGATTAGCGAATCTACTCCTCGATGTAGAATTACTTGTGTTACGGTTTGCCTCGTAATCTACGATTCTCTCTCCGAGCGAGTAGAGGGAGACTTCCAATGATCTGGACTGTTTGGAATTATCGATCGCGACGAAACGATTGTGACGAAACTTGTAAGTGTAAACCCAATCTCAGAGTGTCGTCCTTTTAAAATATGGGGATCTCAACGAACTTTATAATTGAAGTATCTTACCCGAGACTATCGAGTGAAATGTGTGGGAATATAATAATCTTTGTACGTGTCGTCAAACGCGAACGCGACCCTAGGCACCTTGTCAGAGAGACCTGATGCGTCTTTGTATATGACTGCAACGATATAATATTGTAAATGTAGCCTTTTATTTCCATTCTTTTTTTTCTTTCTTTTTACTTACTAAGAATGCACTTGGGCAACGCTAGGTTATTCGTTCAACATCGAAAATCTTTATTATCGCGTCCGTGCCATAAGTGAAATTGTACATACAACACAGATTGCTCTCGATCAGAGAATCGAGATCGCTTTACACATTGCAGAATTCCCTCTCGAAATTCCTCTGATAGAATATATCAAGGATTTTAGGTACAGTACCGCTGATAAATTTCCGGACATTCTGTGAAACTGATGCCTAAACTGATGTTTTAAAACATTTTTTCACTTGCCGTACATGACGTGAAGTTTAATCTTATTTTATTTTATTTAAGGAATATATTTTTTTGTTTTTATATATGTAAACGCTATTTAATATTTGTAAAAGAGAGAGGCACGTGTGAGAAGGAAGAATTAATATCCCCGAGGATACATTAATTGAGAAAACTGTTTGAAAAAAATCATAGAGGTAGATTAACGATGATTCTACTCTATTTGACTTTTATTTATGTGTACGTTATATGCTGAATTCTCTTATTTATGTAATATGGGACGTGTATGAAGTGTTCGAAAATTTACGAGCGGTAGGCGCACTGCGTATCTCTTAAGGACAGTTTTGACGTGCACGCAGTAGCGATTAGGTAAGAACGCGCGCCGCGTCTCTTCGAGTGGAATGTGATATGCTTCAGGATCGATTTTGGTATAGGTAATGATATTTAACGAGATGCGCGCGAAGACACACTCTCGAAGCGTTTTTCCGGACGCTATCCGGACGCGGCACAACGCGCGAATAACGATGGTCGCACGATGCGCGCGTGCGACTTTGGCGTTTCGGGTGGGACTCGAGAAGAACGAAGAGTAATCCTCGTAAATGAGCGAAACTCCTCAATTGGATCATGCGTACATCTGTATATACGAGTTTTAACAACAATACAGAACGTCCATTTTTTTTAACGCAGACGAAGCTACACTTCGTAACACTTGTTGGATAATAAGACTCTTTGAATACGATTTAACACTAGAATTACCAAAGCAGTCAAAGTGACTGTTTATAGTTTTTATAATTTTTTAAGAATGACAATTTGCAATTTAAAAAACAATATGACTCAAATTTCGAATGGTGCGTTGCCTGATATTTTTCCGGACTTTTACTTCAGTGTGACTAAATTGATCACAATTTATTCATTTCTCTATATATCTTTTTTCCCAGAAAGATATATATTTATAAATAGTGGTAGAAATTATAATTGTCGGTAGCTCTGGTGTTAAATGCTCCTCTTTGAACTGCATCGCCATGTGTGATTTGTATATCGTAACCGTAAACATTACGAAGTGAGCAGCCTGTATAACGTTCTTATATATTTTTCTATCGTTAGTTGCACATACTCAATATGCACGTACTAACTCACGCCGTCACAAATATCAAACATGTATACATCACAAATAAAATTGATCTAAGTGAATTCACGGATCAACAAGTCTTATTGTGGCGACGATTTATTTTTTTATTTTTTTGGATCACTGGACCATTTCAATCAATTGCATGCGAAATACGGAAAATTTCTCCGAATATAATCAAAACGAAGGCGATTCCTCGTGAAAAGAATAAAACGTAGAATAAAAGGTCACTTTTGTACAAGACTTTGTTTTTCAAAAATAGCTTCGAGAGAGGAAGATCGTATGAGTTTGTTGAATTTCTTCAAAGATATTACTCAGAAGAGAGTCGTTTCATGGTTCCAGTAATCCAAAGGTTGAAGTTTTTTCCGGATACATTTTGGATATGAAGTAACAGTGCCAGATATCTAAGTGGGTGGATGTTCATCCTGTATCTCGTTGCTCTCCGGCAACTTGATGAAGGACAGATCGCCGCCGCTCCACATCGAGTACAATTGCGACCTCGTGCACTCCTAAAATCAGCGACGTTTATGCTGCGTGAGAAAGAGAGAGAGAGCAGGGCAAAAGAACAAGTGACAGACTAGTTTCTATTAACATTTAAGCGTCGTGTAATATAACGAAAGAATGTAAATAGAAGAGTGCAACCGCGGCGAGTAAAAAGCCTGTATCAGAATACGCATTGAAGATTAAAGAGTGCAAATTGGAAATTAAAAATTCGACTGATCAAAACAAATTAAAATAAAAATAACGTAATTAGTCGAATTTATCTTCAATAGTCTGACACGGGTTTCAAAGTTATTCGTACGCCAACATTCCTTTTTTTTTCCAACTGCATGTATCCATGTATCATCTTGTAGAGTTGCGTCTTAGCCGTTTTATTTAAATCTTTTCTTTTGCATTTCTTGCATTTCTCTGCATATATATGTATATATACACGCGTAGAATTTATTCTGTCACTCTGGATCGCGAAATCCGAAGTTTGTGATGCGAAAAATACCAGTGTACGGATATCTCTTTTTCTTTTTTTTTTATCATTGAATATTCGGTGTCTTAGAAGACGTCAGTTTAATAAACTTAGATTTACTAACATTGTATGTTCTTTCTCTCTTTGTCTCCCTCCCCTTCTCTCTCACTCATTCACTCTTCACATTCTCTTCGACAGTAAGAAAATATCTGATTTCATTTATTTACCCCGCCACCCGCGCTTTCCGAACCCGATCGGCTGTGCGCCGAGACGCAGGAGTCGGTCGACGAGCTGCTCTTGCGAGACGGCAGTGTGTCCGCTGTACCTTCAAAGAAACGTTTCGATCTGAGATCATCGCGCTCGGTCGAGCCTTTTACGTCACACTCCCGGAACGGTTTTTCCACGGTATAAAACAATCACGGCTACACGATGTGTTGAGACGCACTCACCGGCTTCGGTTTCTCTATGATCGCAATGAGAGTGAATGCTGTCCTTGCTATCGCCATGACTGCCACTGGCACCGCTCTGTTCTGCAGCAACATTTACGACAGTGTCAATCCCTTCGCTATACCAACTTTATCAACGCGTTAAACGAGACGATGAGAAAAATACCTTACCCGAGTCCCTGTGCTCGCTGTGAACGCTGTGATCGCTATCACGATGCCCGGACTGATCGGAATGATCGCTGGAGTCCTGCGGCCAGCATCTAGGTGAACCTACCCTACGCGACCCCGACCAAATAGCGGAGTCGTAATTCGAGTCGAAATTGCAGGTCGTCAAAGTGACGCCCGGGATATGCTGACTAGTGTAAGCCGAGAGTTGATTGGACGGCCGGATTCCTGCACAACGTGAACAACCTTCGAACCATAAGAACGTCGAGAGCGCGAAAAAGCGGGCTAGTTATAATTTGTATTCAGCCCCGTCAAATTCGCTTTTTCGAATCTTACGAAGGACCAGACGAAGGAAAGGACAGTCGTTCTGCAAAAAGTATCGAGTACTTGGTATTCGAAATCGAGCGTTCGCCTTCAAGTAATAACTATTTCAAATCTCGAAATTTCGAAAAGATTAGGGCGCTCGGTCGTACGTACAAGTTACAATTTCTGATCTACGTTTCGCAGAATTTCCCTCTCGTGATGTATAAATGATCGTCTACCGTCGCAAATCACCGCGAGGGACTGGGGTTTTTGCTGACCTGGCTTGCAAGACAACAGCTGAATGGCTTCCTGGAGACCGTCCTGACTAGTTGTCGACGTCTTCCACACCGAGTCGGGCGTGGTCGATCTACTGTGATCCTGCTGGGGCACCCTTAATCGCGACCTCGCATCCTGGCGCGGCCACTCGATAACGTGCTTGCAGTCCCAGGGCATCGACCAGCGCCTCATCGTGCTCTCGGCGGACTCGCCCGACATTTCCGCCGCCGCTGTTTCCGACCATCTCCTCTGAACCTTGGTGAAACACGAAGGCCGGGCGTGACGCGCTCATTACTCATTTACGACAGAGAAGGGTGTTGCGTGAACCGAGGACGCGCGAAAATGTCAATTACCTGCAGAGGAAACAACGAATACGGCAGGGGGGACCTCCGACAGTTCTGCGTGGATTGCTGGGTGGACGAAGAGGAGATCGGCGGTATCGGCGAGCTATAAAGACGCTCGAAGCACTGCTGAAGCGCGGCGATGTCGCAGTCGCCGCTACCGCTCTGAGAGCAAGAGCATTCCGCCATGCCACCTGGATAGTCGTAGATCAGCGATTGAAAAGATAGAACCTTCTTAACTCCATCAGAATTGACATATAATCATTAACTGAATTTCCTACTTTAATTTCAATTTTTTTACTATAGCTGCTTCAACGCGAGGTCACTTATTTTAATATTTCTTTAGAATAATCTCACTTTAATTCGATTTCTTTCAATAATACTGTATTTAGAGTTACAGCTTTTAATAATAGACAGGCTTACCTAAGCACTCGCAACAAGCAACGCAGAACTGATACTGCAAATTTATGAATGTCAAGAGATTTTCTCTGAGAATATCCTGAAAGATTGAAAGTAAACCTGTCAGTTACACCAATACTTTGAACAACAGGGGAGAGTAAATATAAATTGCTGACATGCTTGTCCCCGTCATTGTCGCGCAACTCATGATCCCTCAGAGCGGTGATCACATGATTTTTCACAGTACTGCTGGCTACGTGCGTAGCTCTCGCCAATTCCTCCCACCCGGCCAGACACTGGCCCGTCAGACGGCACTGCGCCACCGTGTCGTGCACCGAGAGGAGCGCCTGCAGGGACTGGGCCAGTTTAGTACCAGCTGTACATAGGCCATTAAGTGTCTGTATAGTACGAGAGATTTGATTTTATTACGTACGTGTTGCGGTAGCAAATTACTATATACATATATATATATATATATACTGGGTGTCTCATAATAGGTGTATGACCGTTCATGGGTAGGTAGAACGGACTAAACTGAATCGAAAAGTCCTCTACCATTTTGCAAAATTCGCAAGATAACAAGATATTAATTTTTGAAGATCGGCGAATAAACTTAATATCTCGTTAATAAATGCGAATTTTACAAAATAGTAGAGGAATTTTTGTTCGGTTTAATCTACTTATCTTGCCACGCACTTGCATTCAGCGGTGGGCCGAATGAATACGTTTATTCGTCAATCTTCAAAAATTAATGTCTCGTTTACGATTGCGAATTTTGCAAAATGGTAGAGGACTTTTCGATTCATTGTCAGTTTAATCCGTTCTACCTACCCATGAACGGTCATACACCTATTATGAGACACCCTGTATATATATATATATATATCCATAAAAGCCAGATACCAACCTGTAAGTACGTCAACCAGTTACCGAGGCATTCGCTTATCTCCAATTGACCCCGCGAGATCTGACCGTCAATAGACTTTGGCTCGGTTCCACCTTCAGCCATAGCTGAACTCTTTTAGACCAACCGCCCGACGGAACTCATCGTCGCCTCACGACGCGCGAGCGCTTCGAGCACGTAGTTGCTGCGGTTAGCGAAATTCATCGCGCTGAATGTTGCAGAGGCAGCAACCTCGTGGCGAGCCAACAGTTGACGCATCGACGCGACGCAGATCCCGCCTGGAAGGGAGAAGCAAAAAGTAGGCCAGTACAAGCGACGCCGAGTGGGACGAGTGCTGACCCAGCCTCGATTGACGATAAACCCCATGTACTCACGTCTGCCTAATCGAATTAACAAATCCGAGGATTGAGCTGTCGATCGTCCCGTGGGGAAGTCATGATGCCTCCGCACTGACACCGGCGTCGTACCTGCGGGCGTCCGCCATATGAGAGACATCGGAGCACCTGCGTGCTCCGCCTTTACCCCGCTTGCCATCGCTGCCCTTTAAACGCGAGGTAGTACTACGAGGGACTGTCAGATGACGCCATTCGACGCTTGGAACTTGAATGACCATTCGATACTTGGATTACTTGGAAGTCTCGGAGCCACGGCACTTGGGAACTTGAACGACCGAGCGATGAGTCCGCCAGATGCATCGCGCCCTCGTTGAAGAATCGCGCGAGCGGATCGAGAGATAAGATTGTTTTAACAGCTGAGACGTTTACCTTCCTTACAATTTCAAACGAAGCATCGATACGTGCTGTGCTCGAATTCTTTTTATTACTCCTTTTTAAATTTGTAATATGGAAATTTTTTGCATTATAATTATAATATAACCGCGAATTTATATTAATTTTTGCACTTTAATTATTTATTATGAATTATTGTATCGTAAACGTGATATAAGATGTCGCCGATAAGATTGCTGGAGCATTGTAATTATTTTGTCATTTAGATAATTAATATAGATAGATATCAATATTTCTTTTTAAAAATAAAATACAATTAAATAAAGAATATACAGTAAAACACATTTTGTATTTGTGTTAGAAATGGTCCGCTCAAGTCCTTGTTAAAATTTTGTTTTGAATTTTTAATATTTGAGTGTTAATTTAACATAGTGTAATTACGTTATTTAAATACTTTGTGTTAAATTGATACCATATTATAAACATTTCTTATGTCAAAATAACACAGTTTATAAATAAGCTAGTGAACAAATAACATAAAACTAATGTGTTTTGCAACGTAAATTCTAACATAAATTAATAAAATAATTTAATATCTAATAAATGTTAATTTTATTTTGAGAAAATATACTTTCACGTTTGCTTACAAATTGTGTCAGTATTACATTTTTTGGGTTTTAATTTTTCAATATAATTATGTTACTTTCTAACATATTCATCTTGTGTTAAATTAACACATAAATTTAAGTGGACCGTTTAAAATGTGTTAAATTTAACACAAATTTTCCAACTGTGATCCTGGCTGAGGTAATATTTTTCGTAATAAATTATTTTACAGGATTTAAAAGATGATCAATAAATTATTAAATTGTTTATCAATTTAACTGTGACGTTACGTACTTCGGATTTAGTTTAGAGATATGTTTTAAGACCGACAAACATTCGGCGCGCAATTTGCTTGAACTAAAAATTGTAACATGTAAGATTCACGTATAAATATTATTAAGCACCATGATTCTCTTTGACGTGTTGGCGTTTTCTCATCTTAAATGTTTGAACATTTTATATGTATTCTTCAAATATTAATATGAATCGATATAATTTATTAAATCTTCATTATTTATAATTACAGAATCACCATTCATTTTACAGAAAAAAATAAAAAGCAAAAATTCATCAAAGTTTTTATGGAAGCAATAAGGTGAGATAAAATATAAAGAAGATATAAGAATTTTAAATTAATTGATCGATAAATTCCATTTAATCATCAATTCTTTTAGGTCGGCAGTTTAATATAAAATCAATGTCTGTCGATTTCATTTACATGATTATGGTATACATTGTATACCATATCAATGCGAAGATTCAACAAGACGTGATTCAGCTGAAGGTTATAATTGCAAAGGAACACAGGATTATAATTATAAACGCGGATATATAATTATAATTATTTGTGGCAGCCCCTGAAGGTCTTTACACGGAAGGAAAGCAGACGCGACTTTTCCAACTCGTTAATCCGTTATACGTGCTTCAACTTCACTTGTCCGTAATTACCGCTTTAAAAAAGAAAAAGAGATCTTTCCACCGAAAGTGGAAAGTTTGCGCATTTTCTAAAGAAAAACAAAATATTAATTTTATTAAGAGAAAAAAAACTAACAATAAGGCATAAATTCGACAATTAGAGCAAGAAATATAGGACGATTTATATATAATTTACACGATCAAATTTTTTTAATTTGTAAAAATTAGCTTTCTGGAATCCCCTATCGATTAACCGACAACCGCTATCTTAGAACACTGTCATGTTTTTTAATTACGTCCATTTCTTATTCTCGAGGTGCGCGACACATCGAGAGGTACTTGTGTGTGTGCCTCCGTTTCTCGAGTATTTACGGAGAAGAGGTAAAGCCTCGCTGGAGGTGAAAGGGGCCCAGGCTGACGTCGGTAGATGATTAAAAAAAAAGACGGCGAACGAGCGAGGACGGGAGCGGGAGACACCGGGAGTGGAAATGCGATCGCGCGCGGAATATCGCGGTGGGTTTACAAGAGGGGCCGGAGAGGAGAGGGGCTTCTTGAAGTGGCCGCGGACTGAAGGCCCAGAGAGGGGACTCTTAACGGTAAAGCCGCGGTAACCTTACTGGCGACTTCGCGTCACTGACCACGATTGACAGTGTTTTTTTCCCCCTGAGCCGATCTCCGCGAAGTTAGCACCCCATTCTTCGAATTTTATGTAGAATATAATTATTAGAGAAATAGAATTATTTGATGACCAAAGAGTTCCAGAGTTCTTGACATATTTAAAAGACTTCTGGTTAAATATATAAAAATAGAAATTCGAAAATGCAGAACTTTAGCCACCTTTATGTCTTTGTTCCACCAAAAATTGGTGTAATTGGTTTTATTACTTTAGTCAAGATTTTAATCGTAATACTTGTCAATAAAACTCTTGAGGGGCAGTCTAGAATTCTGAGAGAACATCAGATTTTCGGAGAGTATTTTGATTTGTGTCCTCTGGAAAAGTTTCCAGAGGAGAATTAAAAAGTTTTTGAGATTATTTTAATAAATATTATAATAATTTATTGACCCTTTTCTGAACAAAACTTATAGATTTACCAAATACAAAAATGTAAAAGCTTTTTTCTGGAAATTACTCATGTATGAATGTCTCAAGTCCTTTCCCATGAAAAAAATATATTTGATTACTTGCTGACCAGGAGATTTTTTATTTTCTTATTGTCAATCACGCTATTATCCATGGACTACAACCGTAATTATACCGGATTGCAATTAAAAATCGGTCCACCCTCGCATGATGGATATCATTTACGATGAAACCGGTCCCTTTTACAGTCACTGCAAACTTCAAAAGGGGGTCGATCGGTCATAGACGGCGATTTTTCAGTCTAATCCGGTTCTGATCTAGAACTTACAAGTCGAGTCTCATATTTCTAATCTGTCGAAACATAATTGGAGCATGGACAGGATTTAGCATCTGATTCGCACCGGAGAATTTCAGAAATTTGGGAAACTTTACCGGTTTTGCTCGGGCGATGTCACGTAAGCCGGAGCGATACTTCGTAATTCTCCTCGTAATAGAGAAAGCATTTCTTATTCGTGTGTTTTCCAATTCATTTGCATCGAATTTCAGAAACTCATTTTTTTTTTACACAAAATCGAAGTTGATTTTTTTCGTCGAAATTTTAAAGTGAAATACTTATTTAATTTTGGAGATTAATGAGAAAGTTTATTAATGTGAAAGTTCATAATTAAAACAATACATTCACATGTCTGCATTATTCTGTACCCATCAATGTATGCACTAATTCAGGAAATTGCAGAGAATCATATAGCATCTGTTAAACATAACATAAATATTTCGTAATATGTCCATTGTCGAAACTTTACCGTTTAATTATTCTCATAATGTACGTCAATTTATTCTATTTTTGATGAACAGTATTATTTTTTATAAAAAATTCTAGTCTAATTTTCTCTTGATAAATTTAATCTTACATGCTTATTAAAATTATCAAAATTAGTTTAATGTATTTATCATTTTTTATGAATCATGTATTTTTTGTGAAAAATTTTATTCTAACTTCTCCTTAATAAATTTAATCTTACGTTTATTAAAATTATCAAAACAAAATTCATTTTCTGCATCATGTATTTACTGTAAAAGCAATTATTATTTTAGTCTCCTTGATGTAAAGATTAATTCGTCCTTAAAAAAAAAGACCACCGGTCCAATTAAAAATTAATTTGTTCAGTCAAAAATATTCATTATTCTTCTCGTGGCATTTAATGAACAGCAGAACTAAAACGGCTAAAGATGTACGTACACGAACACAAAGGCCTAATGAACTAGCTAACGCTGATGTTACGCTACAACGTGAAAACGTAGCAGCAAAACGTACTTTAGCTGAACGTAGTTGCTGCCGCGGCTCGGTTGGTCGGCTCTACTCGGCGCTCGGAGAGACTTTCATCGCCGTCGAGAGAGCAAAGGGGGCCCGAGGCCCGGGGCACTCGACGGTCGGCCGGTGAAGGGAACGGATCGTCGCCGGGTTATCCCGACTCGCGTTGCACGGGCGAGCAAAACCGCGCCGGGTTAAAATGCCGTCAAGTTAGTTCCGTCGTAATCGCGGATCTTTCGTTCGGGTTCACGTTGGGGTACGCGTTGATCGAATGTCATCGAATCCGAGGATATAATCTTGCACGAAAAAGAGAGACGAAGAGGAGCGTGGGGCCAAGACGCGTCATGGAGAATCCCGAAGAAACAGCGATCGCTCGATAATGCTAACCGCGGTTAACTTGAGGTGCAACCGTTCGAATGATTCTGACTTGAGCGATATTTGATTGTGATCGAGGATCAGACCGTTGTTGACGAGTGTAGATCGTCGAGGAAGTGTCAAAGAGCTAGCGAGACTGGAAATGTCATAGTGCGAAGGGATTAACGGAGGATCGCACCTTGAAAAATCGAGAAGATCTGCGGGATCTGTAAGGAGCGATTCGAGGAAATCGTTTGAGTTCTGAAATACGACATTCTCGTCGGGTTGTTCTACTCGGTTGTTTTCGATACTAATTTCATCGGAGACGAGGAGGAAAGAAACATACACCTTCCGTGGAAAGTTCGTGGTGCGCGAGTGCTTCCTAGAGGCCCCCCCTCCCCTCCTGTTAGCGGGCCCCGCGGATGTTTGCCTGCCGAGGTGGTTCCTGGTCCGCTGGATTGTCGATGTGATCGCGCCGCGTCGTCCCGCCGATTCCGTGGAGAATGATCTTGGTGTACGGGATCATCCTGCCCCTCGTGGGAAGCCTAGCGTACGCGCAAGGCATGTATATTGTATACTTATGTCTACGATGCTTGTAGATTCGCCGAGATTTCGAGAGTGGAGTAAATCGAAGAGGCAGAGATAGGATTAAATAAGGCATCTGACAATGAAGAGAAGTCAGCCACGCGACTAATTCTTGTACGATGCAGGAACTGTTGATATCGCAACTATATGTATATGTATAAGTAGATATCTTTGAAGGGATTTAATGAACTCTCGTCTGGCTTACGTAACGATAAATATAGACTATCGGCTCACTTCTCATCTGGAAGTTTATATATGCGATATTTGAAAGTGAAGAAATCTACTTCGATTGTGAAAACATGATGCAAGGTTATTCTTCTCTGCAATTTATCAACTCGAGAAACACGAGATATCTTGTTAAATTAAGATTCAATTTAGATTTTTAAACTTCGATTTAATTTAAAAAAAAAAAGATAATTTCTATAGACAGAGGGTTTTGTTACCTAAATACGCGCGCTAAAAGCACGGATAAAAACTCTTCAATTTTCCATCATTTTAAATTAATTACTTGAACTCGCCTGCCGTATTACGCCACTTTCGAATTATATTTTCTATCTTACTCTCCGTCTCTTTTCTGCAAGTTAAAAGGCGATTGTGCAATTCAGATAAATATCGAGGCGATCAGATAAATTTCACGCGAGGCAAAAGAAAAAAAAATAAAAAGGATGCGCGTCTCACAAAGAGGATCTTTCCTCGCTGAAAGCCTTCTATCGCTCGCGATCGATCTCTCGCGAAATGCAAAACAGACGCAAGTACGCGTGCATCCTCTCCGCCGCCTCGCCGTATAGTGGCGTCCTACTCGGTGGAGTGCATTCCGCGAGTGCAGCACTCCCAATGGCAAGACCCTTCTGTAGATACATCGGAACGAATGCCTCTCTCTAAACATTTATTTAGATACCTACTTCACTTTATCCGCGAGTCATAAGCACGAGGAAAAGTCTCGGATGTGCGGTATTAAAGGACGGCTGTAAACGGATATCCGCGAGTCAGTCTCCGCGAGTAATTATCAACAATAAAAATCCCTTAATCGGTAGATTAAAGATTGACAGCGAGTTGTTAGCGAGAGAATATCCAGAGAATTGTGTGTGTGTGTGTTTTTTTTACTCGCCTCGTGAGAACGAAGAACCGCGTTAAGAGTTAAAATTGCCGAGCGCGCGACCTCAGAATCCTAGATGAAGGAAGGCAAAGGATCCTCTCCTGCGGTACAGACTCCGGCGGTTTATCCGGCTTGTCCCTGGGCGAGCGAGGAAAGGAGAGTAAGCGAGCGAAAACAGGTACCGCCCACTCTCTCGCGCGCGCGCGGGTTCTCGTCCTCGCGCTGGTCTTCTGGTGTCTCGAGGTCACCCGGTATATCCGTAGATAAAGAGCCCCCCCCGCCATTGGGCCCGCGGTATCGCGTCTCGCGCATTCTCCCCGCGGGTTTGCGCGAAATGGCTCAAGTCGAAAACGACTTCTCCTCGTCAGGTCGTTTTTTTTTTCCTTCTCTCCCTTTCCGACAACACACGCGTGGGATATCCCACTTCGTGTGGATACTTCTCTCGTCTTTAAATGCCAAACGAGTAAAAGTCTCTCGGGATACACTACTATATCCCGTTCTACTTCGTATCGGCCGAGCGTCATTTCGTTGCCGTAACAGTCGCGTTAATTCGCCTTTTTTTTTTTCGTTCGCCACAAATGCCATGGACTAAAAGTACGCTCGGTGCGCGCCACACGTTCCACTTAGCGTAATTGTACATTTCGCTATGACGCAAACGCGGGCTAGCTGCCTGTCGTACGTCAATTCTCGCATGTGAGAATACGGAGAGACACGTGCGGTGATAAACGAGTTCACGCGATCTCGTTGAACCTTGATTAATTTACGCGATTGGAAAAAAATTTAACGAAAAAAAAACCCGTAAAAGCCAAGCAAAGACGAAGAGATTCTCAAATTCGCTGCCAAATAAATCTGTATACGTCTTCCATGTATCTTTGGCCATCTCAGAATCGGAAAATTAGATTGAAATCCCATTAAATGATATTTAATCATTCGCTTCAAAACGACATCCGAGTCCGAATTTCGTCAAAGGCACTTCGGGAGTGAGTCAGAGGGTTAAAAGTTCGGACTGTACGTGGCGTGGCTACACCGGAAGTAGGGGCGAGCCACCTGTCCCCCGGCCGAAACACGATCTGGCCGGCGACGTCCGACCTACTTTGCACTCTCTTGCGAAAACCTTCTATTTTTTTTTCCACAAGAAGTAAACGGGATCGAAACTAGACCGGCGGCCGGCAGCGACGGCGGCGCGAGAAAACGGGATATGTAGATGATACGTTTTACGCGCGTTCGGGGCGAGTCCCGCTTTTACATACTTCCATCGCCGGACCGTTATCCTTGAAACGCTCCGACTTATCTAACGAGACGTCTGGAAACTGGGTAGATCGTACCCGCTGCGATCCGCTACCGTCGCCGGAGATTGATTTCGTCCTTCGCGCGCGCGAGCCCGTTTCCCGCATACTTCTTCCTCGATGCATACATACGTAACACCGCGATAATTCCACCGGGAAAATGTGCAACCTCCTTGCATAAGAGATTACTTGCCTCTGAGGAACGATTTAGAGTGTTTGAAAGTAAATACAGAGCCGCGCTCGTAGCGAGCGGGTCTGGCGCACGGTATATTCTCCAACGGACTAAAATGTTTCTTAATCCTGTAACACAGAAAATCCATCCAATAAAGCTTCAGTTTAGGATTGCGATTCAAGTGCGACCAGTAATCGGCGCGCGGTTTATAGAACTGACAAATGTATTTAAAATTTACGTATAAGAAATATATTATTGAGCACTAAAAGCCGCTTTGACCGAATGACTTTTTTTCACTTATTTGTATTATTCATTTATCGGCCCATTTCCATTTACGTATTATTGTCTATCTAGTAAATTTCCAGCAAAAATGGAATATAAATAGCATTTAAATTATATAATAAACTAAACGATTTTAGGTGCAGCTAATTTCTTAAGCGCAATGAATGTTCTCTTCTATTTGAAGAGATAAATACTTATCTCAGAGACGAGAGATTAATTAATTGAGATCTATTCCGAAGTATTTAGGTTATTGAGAAATCTAATACGGATCCACACTTGAGAGTTCAATGATTGCTTGAACTTTCCGTTATATCGAGCAGAATCGAAGCGTGGGAGGAGATTGGCGCTGACCGCACAGATTCCCGGATCGGGAACGCTCCTGCGCTCAGAAATAATCGAATGGCAACGATCGAGAGTGGGCGTGAATTCCATTTAGGTGTGTACCTGCTCAGCTGAGCTTTCAAAATGCGGAATGTGCGGAAAAGGCAGAGAAGACGCGTAATCCCTGCGATAAAAACACAATTATAAAAATAAAAATTCCATTTGTGGCAACAATGAAAAAGAATTAATAGTACGATATGACAAATTTAATTGAATAAACCGACAATAGTATAGCAGTAAAAAAACAATTTGTATTCGCGTTAAAATCAATCCTTTGTGTTGAATTTTTGACGTACTCATATGTTAAATTTAATGTGAACATAATGTGATTATGTTCTTTGAATATTTGGCATAAAATTGATATTTATAACAATGTAGAAAATTGACATTTTATTATGTTGAAATAACACAATTTATGGAAAAAATAGACGAAAATAATATAGTTTTAAAATATAGATCCTAAAACAAATGAATAAAAGATGTGTTAATTTAACATGTTATAAATTTTAATTTTGGTGAAGAAATATGTTTCTATATGGAAAGAACGATTTTGTTGAAAAGTCTAAAAATTTTACTAAAAATAGATCTAAAAATTAATTTTTGTTTAATCATCAAAAAATTGTGTCGGAATGTTAAAAATAATAAGCATTACTATAAAACATTTTGATATTTTAGCAATTGTTTTGACTTTCCCAAAAAATTATTTTGATTATTGAACAAAAATTATTTTCAGATCTGGATCCAGCAAAATTGTTCTTTCCGTATACATTTTGCTTCCAAATTGTGTTCAAAGGGTTATATTTTTTTGTATTAAGTTTTACACAATGTTTGTGTTATTAATTAACATATCATCTTGTGTCACATTAACGCAAAAATTTTTGAATGGGCCGTTTGGGACGCATGAACAATGAAATGTGTTACATTTAGTACATATTTTCCAACTGTGTATAGTTAATAATAGAAAATATATAGAAATCGTGTTTAAAAATTGCGTATTTTTACCACGTTTACTTTGAATAAACTCTTACGATATCTCGCTGGAAACGAAGTCTCTACGTCGGAGACTCTGTCGCCGAATGAAATTGCTTGTTTAGCAACAATAATGCTTGATGGAAGGTTTGCAGAGAAACTGGCCCTCGACGATCGTAATGTGCGCACGCATAGTGCACACGTAGGTACGGGCGGACGCGACCAAGAAAAGCGCTACTTGTGAAAGTGCTCTATTTCAAAATTCCGACGGCGATTCTTCTCTCCATGCGGTTTTTTCCTAATCCTTGCGAGACCTGAAAGCAATTGCAATTCGTCATGATGAAATTATTTTATCCACCGATCGCGCGCTATCAGATTTTTCCTCGGATTTTTCCGAGTGTGCGAACGAACAAAACTATATAGGGTACAGCGGAGTAATTTGAACTGTGAGGAAATTTGGATAATAGTAAGTATTTGCAAGAATTAAAAAAAATAAGAAATTTTAAGATACATTTCAGTATAAGCATTATAAACATTATAAAAAAAGAATGTTCGATTGAATTGGAGCAAAGACAGCATGGAATAAGCCATTACAGCTGTCATTGGTGTGATCTTGGTTTTAGGAGCTGCATATTGCATTTGTGTACATACAACTATTTCATATAGAAAAGTACAATCTAAACAAAAACAAATATGGTGAAAATAAAATTCTTAGAACTTCTAGTGGGCACCCCTTTATGTTTAGTAGCATTTTAGAAAACTTTAGAAAGAGTTCAATATCTCGAAGCCA